CAGCACTCGTATCAACAGCAACAGCAAAACGTATGTTAACAGTGAAATACTCAAATATTCGTAAATTTTGAAATCATTTAAATTAATCATATAATTTATCATATAACTAAAATTGCAAACGTGTCATATATCAAGAAGTAGAATATTCAATTTTATACTTTTTAATTATATTTTATCCCTTTAAAAATTATAGTTGTACTGAATTTTATTTCTTGATTTATGTTATTATTTTTGTATTTTCTTTTTAAGACCATATGCTTATAGCGCCGTCACTTGGTACTGGCAGCACTATTAATCAAATTTTCACTCACCTGAGAATCTCCGAAATAGTAGATTCTCTGCTTGGTTTCTTTTTTGTATGCAAATTTTTGTTGTAATCAACTACTAAGCAACTAATCAGTTGCCTGAATACCCCTAATATAATTTACTTAGTATCGCACAGCAACGTGAAGTATGCCTGGGAATCACATTTCAGTAGCTCAAGCACGCATACGGCAGCAATGGCTTCATTATTTAAAACCACACTACGTGCGATAAGACATTATCTATGCATGCTTCAGCATTTCCTTAGAGACACAATAGCGCAAGGTATTTCTGTTTGTTTAAGTTTAGCTCTAAGCTCATGAAGCTGAGCATAAGTAGAACACTCTGAAATACTCATTTTATCATAACTAATTTTCAAGGTTTTAATTTGTGATTTTTTTTTTAAAAGAAAAATGAATACTTTTATTATATTTCCTTTACTAATAAAATCCATCAATATCAATATCAATATATCAATATCTTAAACTTCGAAGACTTCGAGAACAAAAATTTACAAAAACTTCGAAGTTTTTTCCAACTTCGAAGACTTCGTTGAAATGCGAATATTCGAATAATCGAAGAACTTCAGTTTTTTAAAAACTTCGAATAATGTGAACAGCTCTAGTAAATTTACAGTAATTGGTTATTACTTATGACCAAAATATAAAAAAACCGAAAAAATTTGATCAGAGTCTATACTATTGAACTCAGGGAAAAATATATGTTAGAGTTGTTTTTTATGTAATTAATTATGCATTATTACCTCCTTTATGCTTTATTACCTCTTTTAAACGCTTTGGCATTGATTGAACTAATTTTGCTGGCATAGATGGATCTATATTAGCCCATTCGTCCATTAGAATCTGTTGCATCTGTTGCTTGTTTGAAAAGCTGTGTTTTCTTAGTTTGGACTCCAAATGACCCCAAAGATATCATATAAGATTTAAATCTGAACTTTGCGAAGTTGTTTTTATCACTTTTTGACAGTTATAAAATAACCAAAGCTTAGTGTTTAACGCAGAATGCTTTGAATCATTATCCTGATAGAACTGAAAATCATTTCCATTGATCAGTTTTTCCGCAATTTGCCTCAAATTCTTCTTTAATATATCAATATATAGCTTGTGATCCATTATTCCATTTATTACTTCCATATTTCCCACACCAGTAGCAACTGTA